ACCTTAATTTAAATCGGCTTTCTGTCGCCGCGCTGTTTTAAAGAGCCCTTCTGTCTCCGCGCTGTTGTCGCCGCGGTGATGACGTTGCGGTTTTAGCAATGGGGTTTTGTCGCCGCTATTTTGACGAGCGCGGTTTTGTTGGGCCACAGTCAGGAACAGATCTTTACCCTAATGAATTGTCTCCTGCAAACTCCCCTTCCCTTTCACTCCTCTTTATTCCCTATGGGAGAGGCCATTCACCATTCACCTGTGCCTTTACTCCTAAGACAGCCCTTGTTCCTTAACTGTTTTCTTCTCCTAGCAGCTCTGTGCATGTATACGTTGGGAACAGGCTCCAGCTATCTGGAGCTATCTTCTGACCCACTGATATCCGACTCCGAAGGCAGCTGATAACTGTCAGACAGCCCTGGCCCCATCTCTACCTCTGATGCAGAGCACTCATCAGAGCCTTCCCCAGACTTCAAAACTGGCCCATGTTCTCCCAAACCTTCTCACTTCTGATTCTGCCACCAGCTTCACTGGCCACTGGCGGCCCACAATACTGGCCATGATCCTAGGAGGGTCTTAAAAACTTGGCTCTTTTTACAGGCCCATCCTTTCCATTTTAATAACTAGTAAAATTACACAAGTTGTAGCATTTCAGCCATTCTAAAACATCATGGACAGGGAAAGGATGTCACATGGGAAAGCGGTAACAGCAGAGCTATCAAAGCACTACTTCAAAAGACAAACGGATGGAACTAGAATGTGAAGCTCTAGAAAGTTTCTGAGAAAACAGATTTGAATCTTCTAGCCTTCTACCTATGAGGTCCTCCTATTTGCAACAATGTACAAGTACTCCTCAACTTATGACCATTGTTTTGCTTAACGACCATGGCAAAAAAATGTAAAATCAGGTCAGACACTTGGGTGACCCATTTTATGACTGTCATGACTTACAACCTTGATGGGTAGGTTCAATTACGTTCATAAGTTGAGGTCTGCCTGTAAATTGGCAAGTGATTGATTATATGGGGAATAGTAAAGTGGTTAATTAGAAAGTGACAAACCAGTCTAACTACTATCCAAGATGTACATGTTGTAATTCCTATTCTTTCTCTCTCAGATACTAATTCTATGACAGTTGTATGTGTTTTACCAAGGATAACACCAAGTAATACAAAATAACAGAACTTATTCTTTCTTTGCTTACTGAACAGATAGATAATGACTTGTAATTGCAACTTATATAAAATCTGTCCATAATAATAAATCATAAAGTAGTTAGACTCAAAATAACAGTATTGGTGAATGTTTTTCCTGCTGGCAAATAATATGCTGAAGCTGGAAAGCAGCAAAGCCAAAGAAATAAGCCAATGCCTTGCCTATCATGACTGTTGTGTATATTTCCTTGTATAAACACACATGCACACCCAGATACATATACAAAATCAGGGCAATACCATTTGGAAGAAGAGATGTAATAGAGGCAGGATAGAGACTGGCATTAGGAACAGGAAAAATCATAGTAGTATTTTGCATTGCAAGGATAAATGAATAATGCTTCCATTCAGCAATAATGAATAAACCCATACGTTGTCTCTTAGTCAAGGAAAAACTTTATCAGATGTACTGATTGACTATGGCAGGAAGATAGTCCCTCCTAAATTTATCTCTGGCTTGTTTCAGTAATAACATGTCATAATCTTTACTTTCTAAAACCTGTTTTCATAGCTATTCACATCATTGCACATTTGGTCAATATAGAACTATTTCATCTCAGCCATTCAAAACAAGCAGGCGACTTGAGGAAGAAACTGTCTGGCATTGGTGGGAACCCGAATGAAAGCTACTTGAACCCCATCAGAAGCTATGACACAGTAGGTTGGCTTTGGTGTTAGTCTTATGGTTGGTTAGCTTTCATTCATCAGAAAGTTGACACAATCAACTCACATCCTAAATTAACATAGAAATGTTGGGAGCAGAGAAATGAAAAAGAATACATAAAAAGAGGGATCAAGTAAAGGTCATTTTGCAGGGATATAGTAATCAGTAATGCATAAAAATACCAAAATAAAAGACTTTGAATTGCCCACTGATATTAGTTGTTGATACTTTCTATTCCATATTCTCTTGAAACCCATGGTGACATAGCTTTGATTAGAGATGGGGAAAGGGAGAGACATGATGATACCATGACAGTCTTCATGTTCAACAATCATTTGTCATTGTTCTAAAACCAGTACAAATGTACAGTTATTATTACTAATAAAATAATTTAGGCTGTCATCCAAAATTCACTTACAGTAAGTTCCAATGAGCAGCCACACATTTTAAGAAATTAAATATTCATCTGTATTAACTACAAGATTTGTCCTCGTTGTAATTGCTGTGAAAATAGATTGTGTTTAAGACAGATGAATCCAATCACTATACAGCCTAGCCAAAGCAACTTTGATGAAATTCTGCAAATGCTACTGAAAGACATACTTCCTTCTGGCATATTCTATATTCCTCCTTCTAGAGGAATATAGAATCGTATGTATGTATGTATGTTTGTGTGTATGTGTGTGTGTGTGTGTGTGTGTGTGTGTGTGTGTGTGTGTGTGTGTGTGTGTGTGTGT